GGAAGTAGTTTTCAAAAATTTGTCTTCTTCCTCTTTCCTGTTTATCCCCTTAATCCTCTCTCAACACTCTGTTACTTAATTTTATTCTCTCCCTTTGAAATTTTAAGTCTCATGCAAATCTCATTTTTGTCTCATACCATCTTTTTCAATGTATTTTTGTTACAAAAAATGAAACTCTTAGCATTAATTCTTACTCGTTTGTGTTAGAAAGTGACTCATCCTAGTTTTCTTCATGGGTTTTCTTGATACAATCTTCGTCCTTCATAGGTAGAATGACAGTGGATGGATTGATGCACACACCACCATCGAACAGCGGGACTGGCACCTGGCATGGTATACCAAAAAAGGACCAAACAAAAAAATCCTTAATTTTAATTGAATTTGTCTACCTTATGTCAAAAATATAAATTAAAGGTATATTAAATATATTTTTTTATTATAAATTTATATTAAAAAATATAAATTAATTTTTAATTTATTAATTATTTTATTAAATTTATTTGATATTAAAATTAAAATTAATTTTTATATTTTTATATATTTATTTATAATAAAAAAATAAATCTAACGTGATGTGCTAAGAAAATTTCATTTTAATTTGCACGGTTATTAACACCCAACTTTTCTTTTTTCTTTTTTCTTTTTTTCTTTTTTTTGGAGACCCAACTTTCCAATTGGCTTGTGAAATTTATTGGTTTTGAAGTGGAACTTGTGGGAATGGAAACCAGTATAGCGAAGGCATCTGAACAAAAATTGAGACTCTGAGCATCTTTCTGTTCAACTATGGTTGAACTGCAGGCCGTCGTGTCAGCGACCATTAACAGTTCCTGCCGGACTCAATTGTGGAGAAAGGCCTGAAACAGAGACTCTTGAAACATAAAGAGAAAGAACACATATTTTAAAAAGGGTTAATGGAGATATTATTTCCTAAAAAATTCTCAAATGGCTTCCTATTGGATAAATTTGAATATGAGTGTAGCACTTTTTTTTTTTAAGTAAAAAAAAAGAATTTTTTCCAACAACTTTCTCTAGAATGATTGGAAAAATATTGGTTTAAAACTGAGTTTTACGCTTCGAAATGATTTATAGGAGGAAGGTATGTATTTTTGCAGAATAGGTTATTGATCTGTTTTGAATGATACCAAAAACTTTATTAATATTATGAATTTAAAATTAA